AGGAAAATAAAGTTCGAAAAAAGAACATTGTAATGATGTTGGGATTGAAAATAAATATAAACAATCACGACTTTACGTTTCACAATTAATGTAAAATTATTTTGATATTTAAAATTTATCGATCATATATTTATCATGGCAGCACTTCAACATTTTCAATAAATTTTAAATAGTTTAAAACGGATATTTGTAATTTAAAATACTGAATAAAAAAAAGGCTTAGATGGCTTAGCCGAATAGAGCCGAGCCGTCAAGCCATTTAGCTCGGCTCGACTTGTGAATAGTAACTGAAATCTTGCTCTTTTATATTTAGATACAATCATTATTTAATATTTGAAATTATTGATTTGATTACTGTTTTTAATTTTGATTTTTTTTTAATTACACGGGTGGAAGGATCATAAGAGTTGTAACTCCATAAATCAAATATTTTATTTTATTAATCAAATACATAATTAGTAAACTTATGTATTTTCCTTAATATATATTTTATATTAAATTACAAAAAATTGAAATTCTGGAAGGTGATTATTGATCTTCTTTAACTTAAATACGAATTTGTGCATTGAGTTATTATTTAGATTATGAAAATTGGCACTGTGGGTTCAACGGGTAAAGTCGAGAACTAGTTCAAAAATCGAGTCGATTATCTCAATGTGTAAAGTCAAGAACTAGTTCGAAAATTGAGTCGTTTATCTATCAAAAACATTTTCTTTAAAATTAGCTTAAAAAGGTTTAATTTAAATTAAATTAGAAAATAATTACAAAATGGAAATGGATTTCAAAAACTAAAATCCACGTGTGCATTGCCTCTAGGGATATTTGCCTCTCTCTCTCTCTCTCTCTCACATATCTTAAACATTGGATGTGGGAACAATATTCAAAACAAGGCAAATTATATGCATTGGATACAACTCACTCTTTTCATTTTTTTTTTAGTTGACTTTTTCTTTTGTATTGACCAAATATTTTTCCAAACAAGGTAGATTGTTTTTATTTCTATAATTAAGGGAACTTTTAATTAGTAGCGTTATCAAAAATTTATTTCCTACTATAAAAAAAAAAAATTATTTACTTTTCACAAACTGTTTGACCCTATTCGACCCTTGATCCTTTCACATCTTCTGATTGATGTACTACCGTCACCTTATTCATGAGGGGCTAGACCCTCCGCAGACCACAAACAAAAGTCTTTAGGCTCCGTTTGGGAGCCATTTTTTTTTTCAAATAATACATTTTTCTTTCACATCAAGTGGGATCGATGGCAGGAAAGAGACACAAAAAAGGTGTGATTTGACACAAAGAATGCATTTTTTTATATAAAAATGGTTATCAAACGGAGGCTTACTAAAAAAGGTGGCCTCAGAAAAGCTTTTTAAAAGACTTGACGACTGAAGAGCTGACCCAAGTAAGGGCATTTCGTCGTTCGATCTTTATAATATTATTGTTTAGTTGATGTTTATTGGGAATTGAATCGAATACATCTAGCAATTAAGTTATTAGTTAATTGATGTTTATGAGAAACTGAATTGGTTTTCGAATGGTAATAGTGAGTAGATTTCGTATTTTCGTTCACTTCATTTCACGTACACAATTCTTGGAGAATTTTCTCTGATTCTTTTAGTTGAATCCGAGTTTTTGGGATTTGGTCTTGTTTCTTAGAATAATGTTATTCATTCACAGTGCGGATGAAAACATAGTTTAGGTGGTTTTAAATGATAGGTTAAATGAAAGGTGAAATTAAATGACTTATTTAATTTCATCTATCATTTAATGTCACATTAACGCCACGTAAACTGTGTTTTCATCTCCAGTGGGGATGAATAGCATTGATGACCTTTTGCATTCTTTAAAGTTTACGATCAGAATCTGTTCTTCCAATAACTCATTTGAAAACACTGCAAAAAGACGAGTAGATCAGATGAGAATTAAGGCCATTTAAATTAAAAAATACAGTTCATGGTTTTTTTTTTTTGTTTAAATAAAAAATTATTTGATTCTCTACAGTCTCTTATTAAATTATTTTTTTAATAATGGTTTTTATTTAAATTGAAAAGATTCAGTTAATAGTTTTTTTTTTTGTTAATAAAAAGTATATGATTATCTATAGTCTCTTATTAAATTAATCTTTAATAATGGTTTTTATTTTTCTTCATGAATTTTAAATTCTTTAATGAGTTTATGATCAATACCTCTTAATTTCTACGGCTAATCCCTAAAGTTTCGGAACAAAACTCCTGAATTTGAAAGTTCAACTTAATATAATTCATCTTCTCCCGTAAATGTTTTGGAGCTAAGGCCATCTCCAGTGCTGCACCAAATTTTACACCAAATCTTGTACCAAACTAAAATTCATCTCCAATCATTACACCACAAATTGCACCAAATGAACAGTGTTTAATCATTTTCGTGTCTTTTTTTATTCTTAGTAATTTATTTATTCTAAATATTATTTATTTATTTATTTTAGAAATACATAAATAACTAAATAAATAATTACATTAAATTAAGAAAAATACTAAATTCATTAATAAATATATTATTAAAACATAGGACAATTAATAGCACTTGGTGTAACTTGTTTTTATCTATCGTTTTCTTTAAATAAAATTAGATTAATGTAAGTATGTTGTTGTTGTAATATATTTCGTGTTAACTATAAATAATCGTGTTTGTTATATTTTAAATTTTTTTATTCTTATTTTAATTAATTCAGTAATTATTATTTTCAACATTTAAAATTTATTTTAAATGCAAATAATACTAATAATATCCTTAATAATAATAATAATAATAATAATAATAATAATAATAATTGTATTAAGAATTATATAATACAAATGACACAAATACCCTCCAACTATTCTTTTGACAAATGAAAAAAGGATCAAATTTGGTGCCACATTAGAGCACTTTTACACCAAATTTTGGTGCATTTTGGTGTTTTTGTGTCTCCATTGGCGATGCCCTAAGTGCTAATATGGCTTGACGGAAGGGATTTCTCTCTTGTCTACTTAATTTATCCTTTGGTCTACCAAATTTTCGATCAATGGTGCGAGTGCCTTCATGAATAGAAGTAAAGATTTCACTGTGTAGCCTACACGTCTAGGATGTTCACAAATTGATAATTGAAGTTAAGACTCTCATCATCTGTTGGTTAAACTTAAATAATTTAATATAGAGAGAAGATTAGGTGGAAGCAAAAAATGGCTAATGTTTCAAAAAGGGGAACTTAAAGCCGAAAAAAAGGTACGTAAAGATGATTGAAAATTGGATCCAGACAAATGACAGACAAAGTTTAATAAATTTCGTAAGTTGGAAACGATAAGACTAGCATAATACTAGGAAAAGCACATGGCAAGGGCTGTTCACAAGATTTGACTCGAACAAAAAAATACATAAACTTAATTCCATTCTTATACAAAAACACAAAAAAAAAATATTAGAAAAATTGAATAGAAGCTGGTAGGGTGGGTAGATAGGTTGGTAGGTACTCACGCAGCCCTCTTACAAGGAGGTGAAGCTATTGCGGACCACCGTAAAGCCACCGTCAACCGCCAAATTCTGGCCACTGATATAGGCCGATTCGTCCGATGCTAGAAACAGCGCCGCCTCGGCCACGTGCCTAGCCTTCAAAACAATTCCCTTCAAATTGGCCACGGCACAAGTATTTTCTTCAACTTGACTCGGTTCGAGATTATAAGCCTTGCACGAAAGAGGCGTCGCCACCCCAAAAGGCGAAATACAGTTAACTCTAATTCCGTACGCACCAAGTTCGCTACAAGCTGTACGAACCAGGCCCACTATAGCATGTTTCGATATGGTGTAAGCATGAGGGCCGCCTCCGCCTAGGCACGCTGCCACACTCGCAGTACAAATTATCGACCCCTTAATATTTCTCGCCACCATTGCACGCGCAGCGTGCTTTATTGTTGTGGCAACACCGCGCACATTTATAGCCATGGTGTTGTCAAAGCCTTGAATATCAAGTTCCAATATGGTGGTTAAAGGGCCTATGATTCCAGCATTGCTGAACAATATATCAAGACCAGCATATTTTTCCAAAGTGTAGGAAACCATGTTTTCGACTTGTTTTTCGTCTCTTACATCGCAGTGATAATAACTTACTCTATCGTTCGAGCCAATGGACGCAATGAGTTGATTGGCCAATTCGTCTTGTACGTCGGCCACCACGACTGAAGCTCCATTCTCGGCAAATAATCTGGCTGCCTCTTCACCAATGCCGCTGGCACCGCCAGTTATAACTGCCACTTTACCCTCCAACCTAAAGAATCACAATAACTTTTTGGTGACAGATTCTCAAGATCCAAATAAAGAAGATAAAGAGGGTGAGAGGATTACCTTGGCCTCGACATTAGTGGGGAGTTGTGATCTTGGCACATNGCACCGCCCCTGCATGTAGTGGGCTCAAATTTTTTTTTTTAGTTATCTCCTAACTATTCCAGAATTTGTAGGATTACAAGGCCTTTGTGAACTTATACAAAAGTTGGTTGCGACAAAAAAATGAAGTATACCCGTTATTATACAAATTTTTGACATTGACATTAATTTCTCAAAATGTGAGAACTCGAAAGGAACACTTATGATAAGATATGATTTTGCTAAATTAAAGATTAGTACTTTCTTTTATACGTTTCTTGATTTTTTTGTTAAGTTTTCGTACATTAATTTATGTTCCGTTGTTTCATTTCTTTGTCACAAAATACCAACTTTCCTCATTTTAACACATAATGTTTCAAAAAAATATTTCAGGGGCAGCCCCACCTCTTCAACTCCAGGACCCCCCTAGTTCAACTAATTGGCACCGCCCCTGCATGTAGTGGGCTCAAATTTTTTTTTTTAGTTATCTCCTAACTATTCCAGAATTTGTAGGATTACAAGGCCTTTGTGAACTTATACAAAAGTTGGTTGCGACAAAAAAATGAAGTATACCCGTTATTATACAAATTTTTGACATTGACATTAATTTCTCAAAATGTGAGAACTCGAAAGGAACACTTATGATAAGATATGATTTTGCTAAATTAAGTATTAGTACTTTCTTTTATACGTTTCTTGATTTTTTTGTTAAGTCTTCGTACATTAATTTATATTATGTTGTTTCCTTTCTCTATCGCAAAATACCAACTTTCCTCATTTTAACACATAATGTTTCAAAAAAAAAATTCAGGGGCAGCCCCACCTCTTCAACTCCAGGACCCCCTAGTTCAACTAATTGGCACCGCCCCTGCATGTAGTGGGACCAGTACAACTTTAATGCTTTGGTACATAATGTTTTTTTAGCCAATGTGAAGACGTGTCAAAATATGTATTAGGGACAGCAGATTTGGGGTTCATTTTGTTGAAAAAGTCAGCTTTCTAATAATTATTATTGAAAAATTTAAAGATTTTTTTTTATGATTAATGAAGTTTTTAACAAGCCAACTTACAATACTTTTTTACTCAATAATTAGTAAGACTTTCATAAAATTATATAATAATGTTAAATGTTAATATTTAGATTTGACTTAATTGGTTATCAAAAAAAAACACAAGTAGATACATAGCAAAGTATAGAATTTTTCATCTTTGGAATTGTATAGTTTTTTTTTTTTTAATTGTTAAATGTAAATTTTCATTGATCAAAATTCATGTACAAGTACACCGAACATACCCTGACAAACGAGAAACAAGTAAAATATAATTACTCCGGACATCCTCGGGCAAGCCAAAAGAAAAGATGTACAACCGACTATAATCCCAAAGCTAAAGTCTCATAATGATTCAAAACATGCGGGCACAAAGTAAACCTGTATAGTTTTTTTTATTATCAATCTATGTTATTTCTTTCTTTTATTCTGAGGTCAACCCTCCAAAATTATAGTAAATTAATAGCTCAAATATGCTTTATGAATTCCCATGCATTCAATGAATACCACTATTAAAAACTTTGTGAATATTATAGGTTCTCCAATTCAGAATGGCATGTGAAACATTTGTATTATTTTATTTTCCTAAATAAATAATAGAAGACAGCATTTGAAGCAACATGATGCACAAATCATATGTATCCAGTAAGGACAGTGTGTTGACGTTGGATTAGAGATCCAAGGAAATAAAATTTACACCCACGAACCAAATATATTTGGCTTAGTCAAAACTACCATCATCGATCCGTCATACGTAACATTCATTGTTCCACCATCAAAATCGTGACCATTTGTAACATTCATTATTACGTGGCAACTCCGACATGTCGACACTGATAACACGATGAATCGTTTCGGTCTCTTCTGACTAATTCGTAAATCGTCCATTGGACACAGTGGTGGTTGATTTCTCGGAGTCCACTCCTTCGTCGACGTCGGAATCTGATCCTCCCTCTCATTCAGAACTGTGATTGTGTGCGAATGTCTATCTGAATTTTAATAGAAAAGGTAAGTAATCACTAAATAAAAAGGAATAAACTGTAATTGTTGAATTTAAAAGGTAAACATGGTGGGTGGCGTAATTTCCTCGAGTTAAATGATTTCTTTTAAGTCCCAAACTTTTTATATTCGTGTTCAGATTTTCAAATTGGAGAGAGAAATGTATCTACTGTGTGTTACAGTTTTTAAGCTTTAAGCCTTAAATAATGACTTGCATAGAGGAAAGGGTTTTTTTTTTTTTAAATTCAAAATCACTTGAATTAAGTCAAAATCAACCGAGTTAGTTCGAGGCATGGGTTTGAGTCTCTTTTGACACAATGATTGATATAATGTCATATAGTATTTTATCATTGTACTCTTTTGAACACAATCAAGTGTCAACTTTTTCATCAACCATATCTTGCAAACTAGGGTTGGACAAAAATCAATCTAAAACCAGTCAAACCGATCAACCCAATTCAAACCAACCGGTTTGCATTGATTTTTTAGTTCAAGTGAGTTGGATTCGATTTAGGAAATCAAATTTGGGCAACTTACAAAAATACTCTTAAAATTAGGGGCCTTTAAAAAAATCATAAGAAGTTTTTTGGAAGTCAAAAATATTGCGTAATATTAAAAAGTGATCAATGTCACCTTTTTATAAAAATTGTGTGACTTCTTAATTTAAAAAAGTGACACAATATCACTTTTAAAAGTCAAGTGTCACATTTTTATTAAAAAGGACATACAATGTCACTTTTATTAAAAAAAATGATATTTACAAGTGATAGATATCAAGAATGTGATTGAAAAAAGTGATAAACACTAAAAAAATGACAAAAATTCAAAAAAAGTGATAGAATTTTAATATTGCGGAATATTAAAAAGTGATCAATGTCACATTTTTATAAAAATTCTGTGACTTTTTAATTAAAAAAAAGTGACAAAATATCACTTTCAAAAGTCAAGTATCACTTTTTTTAAAAAAAGACATACAATGTCACTTTTATTTTTAAAAAAATGATATTCACTACTAAAAAAAGTGATAGAAATCAAGAAAGTGATTGAAAAAAAGTAATAAACACTAAAAAAATGATAAAAATTCAAAAAAAGTGATAGAATTTTAAAAAAAGTCACGAATACAAAAAAATGACACAAAAAAAAGTAATGAATACAAAAAAAAAATGACAAATTTCAAAAAATGTGACAAAAGTAAAAAAAAAAAAAGTGACAAAAACTAAAAAAAGTAACAAAAAATAAAAAAAAAGCGGCAGAAAATTAAAAAGTGACAAATCATAATTTTCAATGTAGCCAAATCACCAATAAGTTCACAACTGATACGACGAACATTAGTAGTTAACTCACAAGCATATCGACGACAATATGAACACAAGAATTTATATGTTGGAAGTGATGAAAACTCAAAAAAGTGTCAAACACTAAAAAAAAGTGACAAATAATACATCTGTATGGATGTATTCTTTAGTTGTTAAGCCACCATGTTTCTAGATGAACTTGATCGCGTGTTCCGTGACGAAATGCAGAAACACACACGCACCATCAAAATCATACTCCAAAAAAAATAAGCACTTAACACAGCAAAAAATGTACATCCTGACTTTACCAAAAAATGATCAAAATGCTGCTCCTTCTCCTTTTCTTTCATGGATTCTTTCTTTCTCCTATTACTTCCTCAGATCTGATAAGTGATAGAGCAGTCCTTTTGGCCCTACGCACAAAACAGATCTCTGGCACAAAAAAATAAATAAGGCAGCCAGAGTGCACAAAATAGATCTCTGGCACGGTGTTCTTCCTATAAATGACGCAAAGTGAGAACTTATGTTGTGAAGTTAATGTAACTGCAACATAATAAAATGAACTCCCAATAAATTTTAGGATGTTATTGAGGTAAAACGATGCCATAAACACATAATGATTGAAACACACAGAAAATTCGCAGCTCACATCTTAATTTACCAGTGAAGAATGAGGATTCTATCAATGGCTAATGCAAAACATTACTTTAATGTAATCATAAACCCCAGATATTCAGCTGTCATTTTCCCACTTTGTTTTGCAAAAACCTAATGTTAAACGTTAATTTAAGAGCTATTCAATTAAATATATAGAACCGGCATTTCAGCTGCCACCGTTTAACCGAGACATTAATCGGCGTTTCAATTTCGACGAGATGTAATCACCGATTTCCTTGTAAGCCATTTCTACCTTAGCGTGAATGTTTCCTTTAACATCTTCATTTTCACAACCTAACACTTTTTTCTACGAATCTTTCAGTCCGGAGTAGTGAGAATTGTTTTCCAATTGAATATCATTATCATCTTTTTCTTGACTAACTTCTTCACTTTCTCGCCATTAATTGGAGAGAGATGAGTGTATAGAATTTGATCATATACTGCGGTGGCTCCTAATTCTTGGCAGCGAAAATCTGATAAAAGATAGATTGGGGATTTTGGAGAGGTATTGGTGGTTTATAACATATTAATTACGTTCCTATATAATTCAATTATTTTTTAGGGTATTTATCAAATTAATCAATATTTTAGGGTATTGGGCCTAATTTGCCCATCAAAATTGAGAAAATGAGGCTCAGTACCCTAAAAAATTAACTTATTTTATTAATACCATGTTAACTAATTAAAACATTTAAGAACATAATTAATAAGTTACAAAATCCCCCAAATCCCTAAACCACGTGCAACCTATAGTCACTGATAATTCTTAGATTTATCCCTATTTAACAGAAATTACAAGATTTTTAGGTTGAATCTTTAATATCCTTGGTTGGCATTCCACTTTGCGGGTCATTTGGAGATTGATGTCTTTTGAAGGTAAGATTTATGGAGTCTTCTCTATTGCGATTTGTAGTTTTTGTGAAATTTCGAAGAGTTTGGATTTTTTTTTATGATATAAATCTGTATGGCAAGCAATTTGTATCTGGGAGGTTTGAT